GTCTTTTCTGGTTTCAAATGTTTAAATGTTTTTTTATCATATTCTGTAGGGACTTAAAGTTCAACATATCAATATTTGATGAAAAATACCTGTTCCATATTATGCCTAAGATGCTTGATATGCAGACAGATAGTGAAGTTAAGCTTATCAGCCTAAGTTGTATGGTAATAACAATAAGCTTGTCTTCTGGATGGTTAACAAACTAAGTATGCAGACCAAAATTAGAGAAAAAGGAGGCCCACAACAAAAGCCAACATTTTGGCCCTAGCCTTCTAAACTCAATTAAGACTCAGGACATATGAGAACTTGTACTGTAACGTCATGTAATTCAGTAGTGTCCCAAATTTTCTGATGAAAGAGATTACGGGGCCAAAGAAGAAAGTGATTGATGATATAGAGTGTGCCTAAGGAGAGTCACTTGGAGAGAAAACATTCTCTCAGGCTTTCACAGAGAGCACATTGACCAAGCAATGGCCGTGACTCATCCACATGGCTGACACTGACAAAGGTTCTACAATCCCAGGTACAGGATCTCAGGATAAATCCTGAGGGGTTTCACTGACCTTATCAGACACAAAATCTACAACTCTTATTGCATAGGTCCTGCTTTACCTTGGTCTTAACCATCCAGCAGAAAAGTATAAAACGAAATATAAGAAGTAAAGCCATGGTGTTCTGTTGAGCTGTAGGGGACTCAGGTCAACAATTTCTGACATTGCCAATCAAGCGGAAGACCCAACACTATTATGGGCTATTGGACTCTTTTAGAATATTTTGCTGAGTTTACACACCTATCATATTCAAATAACAGAATTTAACAAAAAAAAACTGTATACAGATGAATGTCCACTTTGTATCTGTGTATTCAAAGTGGTTAGGATAGATATATAGTTACATTCCCTTAATGAATAGAGTGATTTGTTCTAATGGTGTTTGTAAATAGAATGTCATGTCTGCATCTTGTACAGCAATTAACCACTAGGAAGAATGTATGCAATGTGTTAATTATTGAAACTGTCCTACCAATTTGATTTGAAACTGTCTCATTGCTGTTTGTTTATCAATAAAATTATGGGAAAAAAATAAAGAAGGGATGTTGAACTCATGTTATCATACACAGATAGGTCCCTTTCACTTAATGCCTTCCTAAAAAGGAGATGACAAAACTTCAAGTTAAGTTATTGATCTAGTGAGCAAGATTTTCTGCTTGGATTTGTAGGAGGCTCATAGCATAATGAAATAGAAAGTCAACCCTTTCAACAACAAAGAAATCATTTCATAAATTTTGGTATATCTAAATTATGGAACACAATGTAGTAATTAAAATCATGTTTTAGGAAGATGTTTCTTATTATAAAAACAGTCAGCAATATGTTAAATGAAAATTAAAATTTATAGAAACAGTATATTCATCATAGTCTGATTTGTACTAGAAAAATCTAACTAAAATGAAACACACAAAATTATTGAAAGTTCTACTGCTAAGTTATTCAAATCATGCTCATTTTTCACTTTCGTTGCTGTGATTTTCTATACTTTCTGAAATTTTAAAATGAGTTTGTGAGCTGGGGAGATAGATCAGTGGTCCAAGCACTTGTCTGGCAATTGAAAAGATCCAGGTTCAATCTCTGGTACCGCACGCTGTGCTGGCCCCAGAACCCTGGGCACACCTTGCTGGCCATCGAAACCACGCATGATGGTGCATGCCTGTTATACCAGCACTGGGAAGGCGGAGATAGGCAAATCATTAAGAGTCTAATCTGCATAGAAAGACCATGCACCAATTTAATAAATAAATGCAAGATGAAAATAAAATGAGTATGTGTTCTGTTTATAGTCATGGAACTATAATTTTTTAAAAAATAAAAGTCCCTACAAATGCAACTGAAATGTCCTAATGAAAAAAAAGTGAAAGGAAAATAGTTCAAACACACATACATGAATTGTTAGCTTAAAGTAAGACAAGTAATTAATGATTGCTGTAATATGGTGCCAGCAACTTAACTGAGGATTTCTCAAGGGTGCAGCCATGTGGAAGAACAGTTTGTGGTACTGGTTGCTCAAGGTTCCACAGCCAGGCAGATCTACCATGGTGAAAGCCCCAGCTTTGCCATTCCACAGTTATTGCACCTTGAATGAAACCCTTTCATTTCTGTAATTCTCAGTTTTCTCATCTGCTAAAAACCTTGTAAAGGTAGTGATGCTAAATCGTAGGCATCTGTGGGAGTCAATGATACAAAGCAAATCAAATGCTCACTACAGCTGGGTCCTGCAGTGCTGTATGGGTGAAGGATTGAGCTGCCCTGAAATTCAAGTGAGGCTGGAGGAGCCAGTGAGACTAGAAATCAAAGAGCAGCCTAGAGAGGGCTGGGATGGAGAGCTCACAAGGCTCTGCCCCTTCCAAGGAAGCACTATCTAAGGGCCTAACTTCTAATGATGGCAATGTAGTTAACCTCTCATGACCTCGATGTCTTTGGCTGCTGGAGGGGCATAATAAGAGTTTTTTCACCTGATTCATGGGGCTTGTTGTAATAATGAACTACATTCATTCTTTGCCTAATTTAATAAGTGATTTCTGAGCCCAGCAAGATCTCTGGAGAGGACATTGCAGCTAGCATGTGAGAGCCCAAGGACAAGCTGGTAGCCTGGAGACAGCCACAAAAGGTTAATGGGAATCCATTTTGAATGAAGCAACTTATATTTTTTATTTTTAAACAAATTGGTATATTTGCCATTTATACTGATTAGATTCATTGTTAGGCATTCTTCCATGTACATAACACATCTAAATTCTTTCCTTCTTTTTTTTTCTTTCAAAGATAATAAAAAAACATATAGAATTTCAAAACAAGATGATAGGAAATTCACAATGGCTGTTATATTGCATATTATTATCTTCAAAATATTTGCTCAGATTACCAGATACAGGCATGCAAAATTGATTTTTAAAAATTAAGCACTAACTGCTCCTTTCAATGAACTAATGGAAACTAGCAGTACAATTGTCTTAGCTGTCTTGTATATACAATTGTCAAGCCACTTTGACAATTGAGTTGTTCTTCAAATATATGGTGGTGCCCTGGGAATGGAAGAAAGGAAAAGTCACAGGCCCAGTTGGTCAGATGACACTGGTACATGCCACCGCAGACTAAACTGCATTGCTCCATATCAGTTACAAAGAGAAATTCTGTAAGATATGAGCTGTTGGTCCAGCTCTGTTCTTGAATCTCCAGTCTTTATTCTATAACAATCAGAACTCAGTCACAGGCATGGGAAGACTGTCCCATTTCTATGTCTTATTTGTTTTGCACCCGTAACAATAGTTTCCTTCAAACTTTATTATTTTTTTTCCTTCAAACTTTAAACCACTCCTACTCTTGCAGTTCTGCCTGGGAGGAGAATACCTCAGAGCAGAGACATTCCATCAAGAGGTGGCATGAAACAGAGATTGGCCAAGGAAGAATCAAAGTGCGTGCCTCTCCTTTCATTCTTTGGAAAACTTTATGTCAACCTTCTGAAATAATCTAGCATTCTTCAAGGCCACTTTTGCTACCTGACATGCTTTTCTCCTGAACAATCCTTTAGATGCTTAAAGAGTTTAATCAACCCAAATTACAGGTTCTGCTTACTTCCAGGGGTTGATTTGAATATCGTTACCTTGGGAAGAAGAGAAAGAAGCCTTCTTTAGGAGAAAATTTCCTATTATCAGGACTGTTCTCCAAAACCTGTCCTTGGCAGCCCATTAATTATATTTCATTTTGACAGATCTTGTATATAGTTGTTATATCTTGGGGGGGAGAAGAGGTTTTGGGTGATTAATTGGTTGATAGTGTATGTTAATTGCATGCTAATTAAATTTAAATTTAATTCATATTTGAAACACTTAATGTAACTCAGGACCAGGAAATTAGAATATTTGGGCTTCTTGAAGGAACTTGTCTTTTTATCTGTCACTTTCCTATATCTATTGACACTTTCTCCTTGTTTACAAACTTGTTTTTCAAGAGATAAAATCAGATGTTCTTAGAGCTTCCAGCTATAATAGAAAGTGTTGGTTCTTTCCATCCATACATATTTAATTGCTTTTCTGAAAAAAGAAAAAAATCATCTATCTCCACTCTGTTATTTAAGTTTGTTCTAAACAAGTCTCATCAGGCTGGAAACTATGTCGTCTGACTCCTTCCTTTGGCTTGGTAATTGAAGGAATCATTGAGAAGAGAGTCTTTATATTTAGTACCCATAGAGGCAATGAGATGCCAACAGGGGAGCCAGAGATGGGAAGAAAGAGGAGGGAGCCCTACGTGACACTGGCAACATCTGAGAAATTCCTTAACACTGTTATTTCTGTTTCTTATCACGGAAAGCCCCATGAGGTGAACTCTCTGGAAAGTATGTTGACAAAATATCCAGTGATTCCACTCTGAGGGCCTGGGATGGAAGGGGCCTCCACCAGGCCGGGGACGAGAACCACAGCTTTTGTACCCCTTTGCTTTCTTGGGGAAAGGCAATAAGTCACCCAGGATCACTACTTGTGGATTTCATTGCAAAGAGAATACCTGGCCTTGGGACTGTGAGGGCCTCTTCAATTTCTAATCTCCAAACAAACAAAGTACTGGGTACAACAGGGATGATAAAAGAAGCAAGGGCTTTAGAGTCTCCCTGCTCTAGTTTCTATTTGGCTTTTCCTTTGCACTTAGTTCTTCTAAGGCTCAAGTCCTGCATCTATGAAATAGGAAGTTATACTAATCTCTGGGTGTGTTATGAGTTACATGAAATAATAAATGTTTGAAGGAGCACAGCACAGCGCATGGAGCAAGATGTTTAGTAGGTACCATAACCATCTGCCTAGTAACTGCCAGCTCCACAGGGGAATGGCTGAGGCGAGAAGTTGGTTGTTGTTCTTGCCTGTACGCTCAGCAGTTTGTCCTGGAAAACTATGCTGTCTCCATTGTGGCCCACGAGTTTTAAATCTCTCCCTCACTGACTGAATCTTTCCTCAGCTGTCCTGGAGAAACCTCTGGAAAAGAAAGCTGGAAGAAACTATGGCCCCCAGGGGAAGAAGAAACTCATCTATTTTATTGATGACATGAACATGCCTGAAGTGGATGCCTACGGGACTGTGCAGCCTCACACCATCATCAGGCAACATCTGGATTACGGCCACTGGTAAGGGCTCACTCAGGGAGCAAAGTCTCCAGTGGGCGATGGTGGGCGACACATCTCAGCCCGGGTCCCAGGTGAGGAGCTGTGGGTGAGCCGCTCCCTCGTGGGGTTCTCTGTCTTGGGGGTGCTGGCTCAGCAAGACCACGGAAGTCCGCGTAGAAGAGCAGCCTAAGGAGGTACCGCCCTGTCATCTAAGAAACCACCTCTTAGGACAGGCGAGATAGCTCAGCAGACTGACAGCCTGCTTAGGCAAGCACGGGGACGAGGGTTTGATTCTCTGTTACCACGTGCCTTGCTGGCCCCACTCCTGTTCTTGCTGAGCAGGTGACCATGACTGGGCGTGGTGGTATTCTGGGGAGGCCGAAAACAGGAGTACACTAGGAGTCCTAGCTGTGTAGTGAGACCCTATACCAAAAAAAAAAAAAAAAAGAATTAAAAAAAAGAAACCTCATCTTTTCTTCAAGACTTATTTCATTGATTGCTAAAGACTAGGAAAGGGGAGTATTTTTGAGGTTGGAAAAAGGAAGATTGCACTTTATCAGTATGCAGCAAATGCAGATAGAGAAATATCACACTCAACCCCATTAGTAAATGCAATTAATATGTGTTAAATTTTTTAAGGTATGAGGAATATGAGAGCAAAAAGAAAAGACTCATCTCAAAAACTGTGTTTTCTAAAGACTTGTGTTTTGCCTAAATCTCAGGTGAAGTCCCTTCCACCACAGTGGCACAGCACGGAGCAGCTGAACCACAACAGGGCCCAACCCCTGCGTCTGCAGACCTAGCCTGTGTCTCGGACACACAGGACCTGATGGTCTCTCTTGAGGCCATACAGCTTTTAGTGCCAAAAGGTCTGAAGGCCTAGAAAAAGGTGTCAGTGGCTTAAACAACTTGGGCTCACCATCCTGTCTCACACTGAATCAGGTGCTGAGAAAGAGTGGAGAGAGAATCGAACACAAGGATGGTAGGGTCGGTGCAAACACGAGTCAGATCCTTCCAGAAGTCTTTGTTGGATGTCTGCCATACACAGCTACCTTCAACCTGCACTTCAGCTTTGCGGCAACTTGGCTGCTGTGGAAAAGCTAAAATCAAACTAACTAGTTTTACTTGAGATTTATTTTCACAAACAGTAAATGGAAACTAGAAACCTCCTATAAATTATGCCACATTGCTTTCTCTCTTTATGTTCTCTTTCATAAATATTTGATTTGTACCGTACCATCTCCTCTCTCTTGTCATCCCACAGCACCTCAGCTGAGGGCTTTGTCTCCTCAGAGAACACCCATGCCAGCTCCATTCCCTGCTTCCCCACCCATGTAACAAGCTTGTGTCCTTTTCTCTGCCTTCCTTCTACTTCCTGCCTAAGACCTAACCACCACCCGCATTTGGATCCTACTGCCTATAACCCTTGATACATCAGCTAGTTCCTCCATCTCCTTATTGGCTTTTGCATGTCATTGAAACTTGCATACATTTATTCAGCTGTGTCAAAAACAATCATTTTCCAATTACTATGCTGCCTCTCCCCAGATATAACCAAATGTCTCTATTCTCTCCTTATGTTCCTTGTCTCTGGTTCAGTCATTAACATCCCCCTTATCCCCCATTATTTGATTTCTATTCTCTCAACTTTACTGAAGTGCTCTTGCTGAGCTGTCAACTGCATTGTTAGCACAAATTTGAGGGACCTTTCTGGGTAGCTGTCTTTCTTTGCTGCACATCCTGTGGGTGACCACACTCTGGTCTCTTCTGCCTTCTAGGCTGACACACACCTCTGAGATTCTACCCACCTCACAGGCATCCCTTTGCATTCTCCTTTCTGTGCTATTTCCATAGCTACTCTGTTCTCAGATATATGGCCTAGGCTCTTGTCCCTTTGGTTTTTATCATTGAATCTAGGTGTGTTTGTCTGGTTAGGTTTTTTTTTGTTTATTTTAACCACCCCAACCCATGAATGATAAGACACATCCTACTTCACACGAATGCAACACTCACCTGCCTCAGCCCCCATACTACTCTCACTGAGGGTTTCTGTTGCAGGTATGATCGGAACAAGCTCTCCCTAAAGGAGATCATGAATGTACAGTATGTGTCCTGTATGAACCCCACTGCAGGCAGCTTCACCATCAATCCACGGCTTCAGGTATAGGAGGAGCCACACAGGGGTGGAACCTAGGCCCTTAGGCTATCTTATCAGGGCTGATGCCACTTGGTGTCAGCCTTTTCCTGTATGGCCACTCGAAGTGGATGATCAGATAGGAAGCAGTTTTAAGGTGACAGAGGAACTCCTAGCTCCAGAATCACAGAGCTTTTCAAGCTGAGTAGATCATAGGGTTCATTTGGTTCACCTCTATCTTCTTCAGATGAAGGGGCTTTAGAAAGATGAAATGACTTTCCCAACATGATGTGAACACTCAGGATCAAGTTCATGGCTAGACTCAGTCTTTCTTCCTGCTCTCCTCCACCAGAGGCTCAAAGCCCTTTATTTCCCTTATCTATTCAGGTAGTCTCACTTTGGGTGGAGTATGAGAAAAGTGACTGGAAAGTAGAACTCAAAACCCATATAGGAACTCTTCATCATCTTAAACAAATCTGGAAGAGGCAGTTTCATCCCATGATAAGGATGTCTCACTTTTGTGTCCCGTGCAGCGCCACTTCAGCGTGTTTGTCCTCTCCTTCCCGGGAGCAGATGCCCTCTCCTCCATCTATGGCACCATCCTGACCCAGCACCTGAAGCTAGGAAACTTCCCAGCCTCTGTGCAGAAGTCTGTCCCCCAGCTAATCAACCTGGCCCTCACATTCCACCAGAAAATCGCCACTACCTTCCTGCCAACTGTGATCAAATTCCACTACATTTTCAACCTCAGAGATTTTGCCAACATCTTCCAGGTGAGTTCACCTACTCTGAGTCACCTAGAAAGCTGAGGATGATCCAAAGTCTTCCATTTATTCTTTTTATGTGCTGCATAAAATTACAAAGTATTGAGCTTCTCTATGTGACATTCATTCATCCATACATACAAAGGGCATATTTGGATCATATTCATCCACCCATTGCCTAGCTTACAAACTGCCCCTCTCTCCTGATTCCCTTCCTCTATTAATCCTTCTCTTATTTTCTGTCATTTTTAAAAAATTTCATGTATTAGGGAAAACATACGTATTTGTCTTTCTGAGGCTAACCTATTTCACTTAACATGATGACGTACAGTGCCATTCATGTCCTGCAAAAGCCATGGTTTTGTTCTTCTTTGTGACTAACAGTCTACTGTGGAAGACTCGTCACATTTTCTTTGCCCATGTATCCTTTGAGGTGCACCTGCACTGGGCCGTGCCTCGGCTATCCTGAGCTGTGCTGCAAGGACCGTGCACAGAAGAGTCTCCGAGTCTTTCATCCTTAATAAAATAAATGGTGAATGCTAAACTCTTAGGCAGAGACACTGTCTTATGGAGCGGTGAGCATAGATAAAAAGCACCATTTTGTCCTTGGGGAAGACCTCAAAAAAACAGAGCTTTATTTGAAACTTTCAATTTTTGTTCATGAATATGTTTTGGAGTTGGTTTTTTGGGGGCTCAAGAAGGCTGACTGCAGAATTCCTGGAAGCAAAAAGGCACAAAAGAAAAACTATTATAGAACCCCTGGTGATATATCCATCATTCTTTTAATAATAATAATAATAATAATAATAATAATAATAATAATAATCTCCCACAATCTAGGATAATAGAAGTCCTGCCATACCTGCCACTGTCATGTCCTCAAGCAGCCTCAGTCCTACCAGTTCCAGCTCACTCCCAAGCCAAGGCCATTTCAGATGCTGTGGATGCTTATCCGAACAGCAGTGGCCCATCTGCCCCTCACTCGTTATTGCTTGGGCACCACTGTCAGAACTCCAGGCCCTCTGCTCCCTGAGTCAGACACAGCATACTCACTTGGTAGACTCCACAGATTCTCCCAGAATCTACCAAAACTCCTTTCCAAAGAGACTTCTCCCCCAGGTTGGCACTGGGTGATTATGGAGGGAGAGATGCCTTTTACAAGAAGCAGAGATGAAACGTTTAGGTATCATCCAAATGATACATTAGGTTCATTCCAAATGCAGTTGGAATTAACTGCCCCAGGTGTTGTCTATGGCAATAGGTCCCTGGGGAGCCTAAGACCAGCAAAGACCCAGACCCTGAGGACATAGAGCCAATATATTCTGGACAACACTCTTGGCTGTAAGAAGCAGAAATGTAACTGCTGGTTCTGAGGTCCACGAGCCATGAAAGGCTTAATACAGAGGGAAATCCACAGAGCCCATGGCATGGTGAAGTTTCTGAGAACACCTCTAGGCCGGCTAAGAACAGCAGTCTTGGACGAGATTGATTCAATTTAACAAGATGAATATCTTTCATCTTGTGCTTGTAAAAGTGTATTGTCTCTAATGTCTCATCTATAATTATTATACTCCCCTTAAAATAAATTTAAAAATAAAAACTAAAAAGGACAAGAAAAAGGTTTACTGAAAGGAAGAGTTAATCTTTAATTGTTTGATCAATCTTGCATACTTGTATCTGGTAATCTGAGTGAGAAATTTGATGATAATAATCCATAATGACAGCCATTGTTAATTTTCTATTCTTGTTTTGAAATTCTGTACCATTTGTATTGTTCCATGTTGGCTTGTTGCTGTTTTTTGTTCTTGGTATTTGTTTCTGTTTTTTGAAAAAGAAAAAGGAAAAAGAAAACGAAAAGGAAAAGGAAAAAGAGACCCACATAGATCAAACAGATTGGTCTCTGACTACAGAGCCAGCTAGTAAGGGGCCTGGCACCAGATTCCTGACCTGGACTGTTTCTATCACACTATTCTGCTCTTTTCATCTGAACTTCTATTAAGGAAATAAGTATAGGACAGTGAAACAGCAAGACAGATTCGGCTCTATGTCTGCAAAGCTCACAGCACTGTGGCTTCCAGGCATCCTTTGTGACAAAATTCATACTTACCCATGAATAGGATGAGAATTAACTGAAATAGCATTTACTGTACACCCTCTTTCCTAAATGTCATTGCTACACTATTGGGTGGGAAGGGAGTTGCCATCAATATTTTCCAAATAAAAAGGGTTTAAATTAGTTTTACCCACTTTGTGTTGATCCCAACTGGTAACACTACAGTGAGAAGAGTAAGTGAAGTTCTTTTCACCAGAAGCAACCCAGAGTCAGCTCCTGCTGTCAACCTGTCCCCTGTATAGTTTGAAATCCACTACTCTCAAGAACTCTTTGGGATCATTGTCCCATTTCTTCAGATATCCGGAGAGAGCACCAGCTAGTCGATGTCCACACAATGGTCATGGAAACAGAAAAGTATGTATTGTGTTAGAGAAATAATGAGTAATTCCACCTGGTAAGGACAGGGTAATCTGGAGGGGTTTGGTGAGAGATGAGATTGGAAAATAATTTAATACCAGGACAGAACCTAGCTAAAAATCTGGTCTTAATCTGTAACAACAGCCAACCTGTACTGAGCTGAGCACTAAGCTTTTTACTTCCATTAACTCATTTAATCCACAGAATTGTCCGAGAAGATAAAATACTAACTAAAATCCTCCATGTCTATGGTTTCTGCACTGGCGGATTTAATCAACTGGCTGGGGAGATAGCTCAGCGGTCTGAGCACCTAGCTGGCAAATGCAAGGACATAGGTTTGATCCCCAGTGCCACATGTTGTGCTGGCCCTGCATGTCTGTAATGCCAGCACAGGAGAGACTGAGACAGGAGGATCACTATGAGTCCAAGCTGCTTAGTGAGACCCTGTACCAAGTAAATAAATTATTTTTAAAATTGCATCTGTACTCAACATGTACCTTTTCTTTTTTATTTTTTCACTCTTCCTTAAGCAGTGGAGGAGAACAACTATTTATATATCATTTCTATTGTAGTATTATTATAGTATAATATGACAAGGAGGAACCAGGCAGCAGAGACAGCAGTGGGGAGCTGAGGATCTTGTTTTCCCTGGCCTGCTTGTTCCTCCTGGCCTACAGCCTAAGTGGCAACACCCTGGCTCTGTATCCCACCATTTTGATTATAGTATTATTGTAGTATTTATATAGCATTATTATTGTAGGTATTATAAATAATCTAGGTGACAAATATATGTAGAATGTTGTGCACAAGTTACATGCAAACATTGTTCTATGTTATAGGGACCTGAACATCTGTGGATTTGGGCAGCTGAAAGGGTCCTACACACAGATGGACAATTGTATCTCCATTTGGAGGACAAAATTATAACACAGACCAATGAAGCACATTGACTATGATCACATAAGTGGCAAGCAGCAGCACTGATAGCCACAGCTAGAACCTTCGGCCCCTCTATACAGGCAATTAAGGATAACAAAGGGCTTCCTAAGGAAAAAATGCTCATCCCAATCTTGTTTTAATGGTAATTGGTACAACATCAAGGAGGAACCAGACAGCAGAGACAGCAGTGGGGAGCTGAGGATCTTGTTTTCCCTGGCCTGCTTGTTCCTCTTGGCCTACAGCCTAAGAGGCAACACCCTGGCTCAGAACCCCACCTGGACTCTTCACAGCTTTCCAGCTGTCAGCCACTAGCTGTGGCAGTGGAAAGTGTGTCCTCCCAAGAGCACAGCCTCCCATCAGCTGCATGGCGCCTAGCCTTCCTCCTGCAGAAAGGAATTCTAAGTTCAGAAATGGATCACAGCTTCCCCTCACCCTGCTTCACCCCTTTCTACTTGCCTCTCTGAAAGCCTACAGAAGAAATTAAGGGGATAGTTGCATGCCTAGTAGGAAACAGATACCGTGCAGAGGACCCAACTTGATCCAAACCTCAGTAACCGGTTTTCCATGTGCTTCTCTTCCATCTATCCAAATCAGAACAGAATTTGTCAGTACCTTGAGTAATAGAAATCATTAACTAATATTCCCATCCCAAGGCTACACATAAATATCTAAGACGTGGCAAAGCTTGCATTTCACACAGTCTCATTAAATCAGCCCTTGACAGGTAGTCAGCCTGACTATGTGGTTATAACAGAGAGAGTAAAAATCAACTAATAGCTCACCTTACTGTCAAACATCAAATTCTGCCAGCTGAGATTCCTGCTATCTTTTCCCGGCCTCTGTTGTTTATATAAGTGATATTTAAGAGGTTGATAATGTGAAAGAGGCTAAGATAGTCATGTGGGTAGAGCCAGAAGAACTTAACAGAGCATTTTTCCTTTTTTGAATTTTCATTAACAGATAGACAAGCACACACTTCCAGAGTATCCAGCTTGGTTAACCATCTCAAAGTGACCACATAACTCACATAAATCAACAAACCATACCCTGCCTCTTCCCTCTTCTTTTACAATCACTCTTTCTATCTCCTCTGCCCTTAGATTTATAACACAACACAGTATTTGAAACTATTTCTGAGCTTCATAAAAAAAAAATCATGAATATCACTTTTTATCTTTGTTCAGTACTATATTTGCCCTTAAATTTTCAATCAAATTGTTTAAAAAGCATAATTATTCTTTTTCCTTTCTAATTCTTAAATCTATTTTTGTCTTGCTCTCTTGTGCTGGCTACAATTTCCAGTTATATATATATATATATATATATATATATATATATATTTTTTTTAAATTGGATTCCACTTGCTATTTTTTCCATGTACTTTTTTTTCATTTATGTATTTGGTACAGGGTCTCACTATGCAGCTCGTACTTGTAGTGATCCTCCGGTTTTCAGTCTCCCCAGTGCAAGAATTACAGACGTGCGTCACCATGCCTGGACTCATTCACCGTCTCAGTGTGTCCCGGGGGCAGGGCCAGCACTGCATGTGGGACCAGGGACCAAACACTTGCCAAAGCAGGCACTTAGTCCGCTGAGCTATCTCGCTGGTCCATGTAATTTTTATACTTATATTTGTAAGACTGTCTTATTATATTCCTGATTTTACATAGTCATTACCTAGATCAATTTTCAAAGTAGCACTTGCAGCATCCAAAAATAGCAGAGAAACCACCTCTAGGCTGGTTGTGATTTGAAAAGTAGTAGTTAAAGTTATAGTCACCAATGTCAGAAAGACTTAGTTTCAAAACTTGGTAGCTTTGAAGTAAGGCAACTTATTCAATTTTAATTTTTCTGAATCTCAGTCTCCCCTTTTAGAAAATAATACATACAGTAAAAATTATTTTATAAAATCATGAAGATTAAATGAGATCATCTTGCAGAGCATCTAGTCAGGTGCTTCTCATGAAAATTAATTCAAATAAATTGTGGCTGTTGTTTTTATGATGAGCACAAAGCAATAATTTTAATTTATTACATGAGGTGAGACATACTAGCTTCCTTAAAGGCCTATGGATTTGAATTACTTCAACAACTCCAGAAAATCCATATTGTTCTTTCAACTTAAAGAGGAAACTAAGGTTCAGTTTGGCTTGCCCAAAATCACATAGTTGCTATCTGGTTGTAGTATTTGAGATCAGATTTATCTGCTTCCAACATGTAGGTCTTTCTCCAGAGCTCCTTCGTAATGTCTAAGCAGCCTCCCACTACCATCTACTCCTCAGTGAGACAATTCTGAAGCATTATCCAAGGTTGGACAAATTGGCCTCTAAGGTTATTTGTTTGTTCATTTAGCCAATGTACCTCTGAAATATTAATAATGTGATTCTTTCTTGGTCTTTTTTCCTTGAAGGGAATTCTTTTCTCCTCAGTAGAGTGTGTAAAATCCACACAAGATCTGGTAGAGCTCTACCTCCATGAATCAAATAGGGTTTATCGGGATAAGATGGTAGAAGAAAAGGACTTTGAGCTCTTCGATAAAATCCAGGCAGAAGTGCTCAAGAAAGTCTTTGATGTAAGTATTGCTCTGTGGTTTTTACTTTTCGCATCTTAAAAATAATGATAATTATGCTAATGGTCAACTGGGTGATGCAATCTGGTTCATTCACTGGGAAAAGTTCAGACATTAGATTAAGAAAAGAAACACTATCATTATTTCGCCCAAACTGAACATCCAGGAGCAAAACTAGACACAAATCAGTCATGAATCTCAGCACTGAGAGGACCTACCAAGATCAGCTAGCCCAAGTGCCCACGTGACCCTAAGCCCCTCTAGCATTTTCTAGGTGACGACCCAGCATCCCTGGGACCAACGTCTCACCTTCCCTGTGGCAGCCATTTAGGAAATGCTGACAACTGAAAATTCGCAACAATTTTGAAGACTGGAAATTTAGTCTAATAGTGACTTAAAATTCATTTCCCTTCCCACTCATTCTAAGCCAAACCCAACTTTCAAATAGTTTAAGAACATTTATCTTGATCTGACTTAGCCCTCTCTCTTCCAATCTGGAGTCAATTTCTTTTAGCTGTTTCTGACATGTCATTTTCAAGCCCAGAGAAAAGTTGACATTATCTTGACTGCCCTCCCATCCTCTTTCCCCTGAAATTGTGGTACCTGACTCATCACACTGCAGTGGTCTTGACCAAAAGCAAGATAATCATTTCTTCTCTTAAGGACTATAGCTCTGTTACTACGTTTCCCAGAATGCATCCTGTAATTTGGGAAGAAGTTGTCTAAGATGAAATGAGTAAGAACAGTGCTTTGTATTTTATCCCCCTCCAAAAATTTCACCCTGTATTTAGCAATTAGGCTGGGAATTTTTTTTTTTTTTTTTTTTTTTTTTTTTTTTTTTTTTTTTTTTTTGGTGGTACCAGGGATTGAATTCAGGACCTTGCACTTGCCAGGCAAGCACTTATTCTACTGAGCTATCTCCCTGGCCCCTTATTTAGCACCTTAAAACCCAGAAATTTTGAGCAGCCCTAATGCATGTACTGCTTTGCAAAGGTTTAGAACCCTGAAACTCTTTTCCTTTCACAAAATTATTAGTAATTTATAAAATCATGGCCCCTATCTTAGGAAGTAGTGATAAATTAATAACTTTGATGGTTATATTTTATTTCTTTTTTAATTCTTTATTTTTTTAAAGAATACAAAATGGTAAAAAGAAAGAAGCATTAAAGATGATACAAAATTTCACTGAAAAAGTAATAGGAAGTCAACAATGGTTACTCTATTGCATGATGTTGTCTTCAAATTAGTTATCTAGCTTACCAGACACAAACATGTAAAACTGGTTTTTTTAAAAAAAAGTTATAAGAAATTAAAAAAGTAAGCATTAATTGCTCCTTTCAAAAGAGCAGCAGGGATCAGCAGTACAATTATCCAAATTATTCTGAATATATATACATAAATATATCTTTTCCCTTCTTTTGTCCTTTTTTCTCATCACAGGTTTTCCATCCCACTGAACAAATCCTTTCCCTTTCACAGAATCTATTGTACCTTTCAGATTTTATTTACTCGTTCAGATTCTCAGACTAACAAGACAATATGATGTTTGCATATGTAGGTCTGATTTATTTTACTTACCCATAGAGTCTCTAGTTGCATCTATTAACAACAAGCCTTCTACCAATCAAAGCTTATTGCTTATTATCTTTATTTTAACTAAGCAATGATCAGGGCTTGTATATAATTGTGCCACATTTCCCCTAATCCATTAGTTTTTATTTTTCTTTTCTGTTGCTATAACAAAATTCCTGAGTCTGGGTAATTTGCAAAGAAAATAAGTTTATTTGGATCATAAGTTGAGAGACCGACATTCTCCTGGAAGTCTCCTGTGAATTCAGGCTTTGACAAGGGACTTAAGCAAGGTGGCACCAACATGCCAGGAGGCTGTGTGGAAGAGACCACATGGTGACTCAGGAAATGGGAGAAATTCATGGGCCAGCCTCACTGTCAGTAACAAGCCTCACTTGTAGAACTGAAACTCACCTTGTGAAATAAATCAGACCTGCAAGGACAAATATATTGTCTTGCTAGTGTGAGAATCTAAATGAGTAAACATCAGTCCCTGCAGAGGGCACTTCCCACAATGACGTGATCACCTTCCTACCAAGTCTCACAGGGTCGCCCTGGAGAGCGAGCTTCCAACACATGAAGCTTCGATGGAAAAACAACACTCAAACCATAGCACCCATTTTGATTTAACTATGTATGTTTTCCTCATAAGACCCTTGTTCTGTCTCTGAAGATAGCTGTGGTATCCCAACCTAAGGCAGTCTGTTAAGTGGTTGGATAGAATTTTAAATAACTTGCTTCAGTGTGCATTTCACTAGGTTAAATACCCTAAATTCTTCTGCTTTACTTGTCATTTTTATGGGGGCTGATGTTCGGAACTCTCACATCTTAGATGTTGTTCTCTGTACCCTGCAGTTAGCTAGTTTATGTGTTCATTACTCACTCCACAAATAAGACCTGCTTGTCTTCTTAAGTTGGTCTGAGCAAACATTTTAAATGAACAGGACTAATTTTTTGAAGTAGAGCTCTTTCAGTGGGTCGTGCAAGGGGCACATATTTTTGATCAGGAATCTGGATAAAATGGAAACTACCATTATCTTTCCCCAGCAATACTTCAAGTGCCAGCACAAAGCACCTTTGCCTGCAGTAAATCTTGGTACTTGTATCAAAGAAAAGTTGCCACATTTCCACCTAAGAAGTGAGGCAATCTTCTTCCCACCATCAAATCTTGAAGTTCTCTGATTCGTGCTCCTATGTGCTATGGTGTCACTATTAACAAACCTTTGATTCACTGTACTGGTTGGTTTTCTTTTTTTCTCCCTTCTGTATAGAATGTCTCTGATTATAAAAGTGTAGACTTGTTTTATTAATCAAAGAATCCTTATAGACTAAGTGTTGCAACACTATACTTTTATTATCTGCTAGATCCTCACTGTAAATTGATTGCCCTCATAACTGCTCCCCAGTATGTCAGCCCATTCCCAAATTGGGTAAATAGATGGACTTCCACATTTTTTATTTTGTGCTTTGCTATACTAACAAAAGCAATGTAGCATTTACATCTTATCCAAGTTTCTGGGCATTTATCATTATTCTCTAACCAAGCTAGGATAGTTTACAGTGAGGATCTAGCAGAAAATAAAAGTATAGTGTTACAACACTTTGTCTATAAAGATTCTTTGATTAATAAAACAAGTCTACACTTTTATAATCAGAGACATTCTATACAGAAGGGAGAAAAAAAGAAAACCAACCAGTACAGTGAATCAAAGATTTGTTAATAGTGACACCATAGCACATAGGGCTTTCTGTGGCCCTGAACCCACTTTCAGAATATTGTATAATATATTGATATTTGACTCTTTCTAGTACTTTACTCTTATACTCAGGCAGCAGTCATGGGTTTTTGATATTCATTATTGTCCTCAATTTCCCTACATTAAGTTTGATGATCTGTCCCATGAGCCCAGAAGGCCACCCTGCACAAGCTTATGCCCAGGTTCAGTGCCCCCACTGGTAAATAGCATACTTCTTACCTGTTTCTCAGGTAGGCCTTCTAATCTGGCCTTCAGAAGAAAATAGCAACAGGTGAAGACAAAAACTTGAGCAGTCATAACTTCCCCTACTTGGAGTCTCAGAAAACATGTTCTTAGATTAGTCTCTTCTACAATATTTCTAACTACCTGAAGTCTCAGGTATTAAATTTTGACAAGCTAATAGTTCCTTTTTGCTCCTTTAACAGTAAATTTATATTTGTTTATCAATAAAATTATGGCAAAAAACAGTAAATTTAACAATCCTCTTGAATATATAGAGAATAGATTAGTAAAGAGACATAGCATACATGTGTTTTAAATTGTTATTGATAGGTATTTATAAAACATGGTAACCTTTGTCATGCGTAGGTTTTGAAATAGTAAGCAACTCATCTTGAAACTTTTTATAAATAAGAGATTCTGCTTTAAGTGTTTAAGATTATCTGTGTCCACACAAATAAACCAGTCATCTAAGAATGGCTGAGAGACCACTCTTTAGAAACCAAGTCTTCCGGGCAGAACTTACAGTACTGGGGCTGACATCCCATGGGGAGCAGTCAGCCCCAGCAGGAAAGTATGTTTGATGATAATGGCGTAGATCGGGGAGCAAGAACTTGGTGGAATGGATGTGAAGCTGCTGGGCGATAATTTCCTATATCCAACACTGGCAAAAGGGACGAGACTTAGAGAAATCCAGCCATGTGTCCCCATCCAGTCTTCTGATCACAGAAGCACTCTTACCACGCTTACTGAAGACACTTCCCACTATCCATTTCCCATACTTAGCCCACAAAGAATAAAGAACAATATCCATAACTTCATGGAACTAATTTTTAAAATGTTAAGCATCCACCTTACAAGGGCTTTTGAAGAGGGAGAGTGTGCTGGAAAGAGCAGGGAGCGTTCAGAGAGAAAAAGCAAATCCTCTCTGTGGGAGATCAAAACTGAGACTCAATAAGAAAGGGTCTAGTTCGTCTGTATGTCTCATGGCCAGGACTTTGAAGAGACCGCGGCGCAGAGCCGAAGCCTGAATCTGTACTGCCACTTCGCGAATGGCACCGGGGAGCCCAAGTACATGCCCGTGCGGTCGTGGGAAGCGCTCACGCAGACGCTGGCGGAAGCCTTGGAAAACCACAACGAGGTCAACCCAGCTATGGACCTGGCGCTCTTTGACGACGCCGTGCGCCACGTGTAAGTGTGCTTCTCTTCCTGTTTTCCGCAGTTGCTTCTCCTTCCCAGGGTCAGAGGTTTCATCTGAGACCACTTTCACAAAGCCAGAAAAGCAGTTGCTGCTTCTGCCTTGAACATCAAGGTGGCTGTTGGAGGAGCAGCAGCTGCAGCTTTTGCCATGGGGCCTAGAGGGCAGCAGAACGCTGGGCACGGTGGAGCGGGATGATTTCCAGGCCGACCTTTCATCGCGCCTGGGCAAAATCGCAGCGACGCCAAGGGGAGGAGCATAACAAAATAAAAAGGGCACCAGACCCGCTCAGGACCCCCATCTTTACCTATGTGCTGGCCGAAAAGGCATTTTTTAAAAAGTAATAAAATAGTTTTTGACCAAGTGTACATGTATTTTAAAAAATAAAATGTTTTTTCTGATATGTTGTACCTACACTGCACTTTATGTTCTTAAATTTGAACCCTACTTACCATAGTCCTTTCCCTACAACAAATTAATCTTGCCTACGATTTTCATTGTCTTCAGGAGCAAAATCTGTTTCATCTTGAATTTCTTTCAACTTTCCCTACACTGCTCAGTTTAACTGTTTTTCCTGCTTCATCCTATGTATCCTAAGGCCAAAAAAGGTATCTTTCACATCCTCCACTCCTACTCAATGGCATGTTGAAGTCACTTCTCCTTTTTATCCTTCACAAATTCGAGTCGTTTTGAACTAGGCCATCTAATATGCATGCTTATTTCTTCCCCTCGTTAGTGTCATCTGGTAAGGTCCAGTTTTTCTCCATCACTGTCCTGATTACTTTTCTTGTTGTTGAAATAAGAATACCTGATACCCAAAGTTAAAGGAAGATAGATAACATTATCTGAGTGTGTAGAGGTTTCAGTTCGTAGCTGGCTGGTTCTGCATTGCAGCAGAGAAATAGTTCGCGACAGGCAGAAGGCAGAAAGCCATAAGGGACCAGAGACCCTCCTTCTGCCCCGATGTCTTATCCAGGCTACCTACCCTTAGGGTGGATAGCACTTACCCCCAGAGGGGAGCACTTTCAAGCCTACCCAGAACTGTACCAAACAATCAGTGAACTGATTTAGTAATCACACATCCTTGATCCCAGCGCCACACACTTCAGGTCCAACCACCTCTGAAAAGCCCCTCGGATGCCTGCCTGAGGCTTTGGGGGGACATCTAGACATAAATCTTAACAATGGCCTTAGCACTTCGGCTACCACCTGCTCCTCACCCCCTTTGCTTCTCCCTGGCATTTAGGCTCTGCTCTCTCTAGTCCTTGGCCTCCTCAGCTCCTGGATCTTTGCTTCCTCCCACCTCGGTCCTCACCCCTGCATTTCTACCCCAGAAAGCCTATCATCAATAAGAAACCAAGCGCTGAGATCTGAACTTCAAGCATCCCACTGACTGGCTCTTGCTTTCCTTCCCTTGCAGTTGCCTGGTCTGGGTTTCTATTCTAGATCTTCTTAAACTTCAACAGGACCTCCTCTCAGGGACACACTACCTTTTCCAGCTCCTTTATCCCCCTCCCTGCTATGCCTTGGGTGCCACACACTCTGTCATCACAGTACAAGCTTCTCTATGTCTCCTGCCTGTATATCTTTGTGACAAAAGTCCACTTTAGTTAAACCACACTGACTTCTTATTCCATAGCAGTCCCTACTTAGCTATTAATCCTGTGATCATATTTTCTCACCTCTACTTTCTCCTTAATCTTCTTTTCACCCTGTGAATAAAGAATTTCTCACCCTAGTGACTGCAGACCACTCCCTTGCTAGTCACTTGTCCTGTGGCTCTCCACTGCGCTTGGCATCCTTCCCCACTGTCTCTACTTTTGCCACCCATCCAACATGTATTGCTGGGGAAGCGAATCTTAGCGCGAATGCAGGGACCTTTGTTTCACTCACTGCAGGTCCCACATAGGTAGGCTAGTGTTTGGAGCTAAGTAGGTACTCAGTAAAACTTTTTAACATCTCATATGGTGAAAAATAGTGCAGAGGAAAACATGGCGAAAGGGTCCAGAGGTGGGGTGGTTTCCATTGCGAGATGAGCGACCAAGAGGCCCTCGTTGAGGCAGTAGCGTTGGATGTGCCAGATAAGACCTGCGCTGATGTACCATTCACTGTGGACATGGTGCATAGTGCTTGGTCAGCTTCATTAGTCCTCACGGGAAGCCTAAAGCAGGGAAAGTCCACTGTTAGCCCAAGTTATAAATGAGTAAAGGGGCCGGGGAGATGGCTCAGTGGAGTGAGCACTTCCCTAGCAAGCGCAAGGGCCTGAGTTCAATCCCCGGTTCCACCAAAAAATAAAATAAAATAAAATAAATGAGTAAGAAAGATTTGCTAAGCTGTCTCAAACATAGGTGAGCCAAGTCGCACACAGTCCAGCTTGAGTCTGTGACCTCGCAAGCAGATGTGGTGCTTCTCCATGGGCTTCTGGCCTCCCACTCAGCCATGGTAAGCTCACTGAGGGCAAGGTCTGTCACCCACTAGGACCTTGGTCAACACCTGGCACACAATAGGTGCTCAGTAAATAACCTTTAGGGGCATTAGTCACCATAGTCCCTCTTCCTTACAACCTACCAGAATCTGTATTCATCTCGTAATTGAGGTAACTTGTTTTCCCTTTAAGTGTGAATTTAATTTGGGAGGATAGCTAGTGATTCCATCAGTGTGATTCCTAACATAAGCGATCAAGCAACCAATACTGTCTTTAGGAAAAAAATAAAGATTGAAATCTAGCTTCTCTCTTGAGACTCCTAAATAGACACTGAAGATAGTTTCCATAGAATGCCTGAGCTACTTGTAGGAAAAGTAAAACAACTGAAAAAAAAATGAACTGCTTTGAGGCAGACAGTTCTGAAGAATCAAGTTTATTTGGAATCCATTTTCCTGTGCATTTGTTTAAAAATCTCCATGTCTCATTACTTTATCCTTGCTCTGCCCTTCTGTTTCCTCACTGACCCCTCCTTGCTACCTCTATGGCCAGGATACAGAAGGTTTTGGGCTTGCTCAGGAAAGCTCCCTGCTTCTGAGACCCCAGGGGAAGCAAGGCAGAGTGAGAAGAATCTGCGTGTGTCCTCCCAGGAGCCCCCAGGTGGATGTGGGAAAGTCAGCCCCCACTTTGTTTTGGTAAATGGACTCAAACTCAGGACCTTGTGCTTGCCAGGTAGACACTGAGCTGTCTCCCTGCCTCCAGAGCCTATTTTTAGTGTACAGTAAAGTCTATGATCTTTCTGACTTCATCTTGCCATTTTATTCACATCACCTGAATGCTTAATAGTTTCTTTCATTTGACTCCCTCCACCCTCTCTAGCTTTCCTTCTCTCCCTGTCTCCAGTTTTGATGCTGAATAATGTAGCACCACACAGTGTGTAGGGAAGTAAGTTCTGTAGATGAAATCAGATCCAAAGTTCAAGTCCTCACTCTGCCACAAATGAAGTAGGGTGCTTTGGGAAAAATCACTTCTTCAAGCCTCGCTTTTCTCATCTGGAGAGGGAATAATGAGAGTGTCCATGCATGGGGTTGCTGCCGCCTGCAAAGTGCATCCATCACATGGAATAAGCAGTCAATAAATCCTACCGTCTTTCCTTTTGTGCTACTGTTCCCTTATTTTTTCCATAATTTTATGGAGAGACAAATAGCAATGAGACAGTTTCAAATCAAATTAGTAGGACAGTTCCAATAATTAACACATTGCATACTGTCTTCCTAGTGGTTATTTGTTGTACAAGACGCAGACATGATATCCTATTTACAAACACTATTAGAAAAATTTTTTCTATTCATAGGACCACTTTGCTCCTCCATTGACACCCTTCGCCATTTCAGCAGATGCTTCTGCTTTTTCTTATAGCCTTAAACTGGATCCTTTCTGTCACATTTGGCATGATTTTCATTTATCTTTTTCTTTACTTCTTTGTTTTGTCACTTCCATATGTATTCTCTCTCTCTCTCTGTCTCTCTCTGTCTCTCTGTCTCTCTCTCTGTCTCTCTCTCTCTCTCTCTCTGTCTCTCTCTCTCTCTCTCTCCTCTTCTCTTAGTACTCATGACAAAACAGAACTTCAAATGTACTTCTTTTGTGTCCTCAACATCTTAGTTTTCCAAGTGTTTGTGTGTGTATGTGTGTGTGCATGCGTGTGTGTGTGCATGCATGTGTGTGTGTGTGTGCGTGTGTTCACTGTACGATAGACCAGTTCCTCCAGCTGTGCTGTGATTCATCTCTAGCTTTTGTTTCTCATCTCCAAAAATCAGTAATAGGCTTAACACAGGCTGCCTTTGTTTTCTGGCCCAGCAGCCCTTGAGAATATTGATCTTCTTTTTAAATTTTGTAATTTAAATGCAGAGTCCTCTGCCCTAGTCAGAGGTTGCTAATGAAGCCCCAGCTGGAGTCTAATGCTGTTAAGAGAGTTGCAGACTTAACCATTCTTTAGAAACTTCATCACTACCTATGCATTTCCCATTTCAGTATTAAATAATAGGGCCCATGCCAAGCTGAGGTCTGGTCTTTCAGAGTAGAGCTGGGTGTTAGTCTACCCAGGTAACCCAGTTAGACTCCAACTCTTCCTCTGAGTTTGCCTCTCTCCTCCACTAATACAGTCCTGCTCCATCTTTTTGGAATCTGTAAAGAATAACTGGGTGGCTTAGCACCAATGATTCTCCTTCCATCTGGAACCGACAGAGACACAAGCAAATAATCTCTTGCACATAGTATAATGAATCATACCTAGAGTACCTCCCCCACCCCGCCCGCCGAGTAGGATTTTCTGCCGAGTTCCGGGAGCCCCCAGACCCAGTCCTAGCCCAGGTCTGGTGAGTGTGTGGAGAGCTTCCTCTTCCCCCTACTTCACCTTGCTCCCTCCAGGCACAGCTCAGGGCTAGCATACATGCCTGGGGTGTAACCCTGCAGCTGCAATCCCTGCAGAGAGTGTAGAGGATAGATCCACCCAGCTAGTCCAGGATACAACATCTTGCCACAGGGGCACAACAGGTTCACCCTCAAGGGCAGCAGCGGGAAGGAGTTGAGCACAGCAGCCAGACCCAAGCCAGGCAGAGCTGGATAAGTCCAAACAATGTAGAGCTGCACCTGAACTTCAGTACGTGCAAAGGTTATAACTACAGCAAAGATCTACAACAAAGGTCAGAAGACAGTGCTACACAAAATGAGGAGAAGGAACAAAATGCAACCTCAGAACCCAAGCCCACCCGTAACAAGTGCAGAGGACACTAACACATACCTAATAATTATACACACAATGTGATCCTGAGTATAAGGTATGGGTTGTCTTGCTTCAGTTTAATATAATTTTATTAGATGTTGTTATGTCTTACATTTAGATGTCTCTCCAAAGCCTCATGTGGTCATAGGGGGGGACTGACCAGAGGTGGCTGGATCCAGAGTGTGTGATGATGGCTCTGATTTAGGGTGCAATGTTGGGATCCAGGGCACCAGGACTAATGGTGTGAGTGTGCCCTGCCCTAAGTATCCCGGATCAGATGGGAGGGATAGAAAGAGCTGGGATTGTCCTGTGTTTGCTTTGCTACCTTCTACTATCATAAAGCGAGAAAGTAAAACTGTAAAAGAACAAAGTACACATCAAGAAATAATTCCTGCATACTTAAGTGAACACATTTTAACTACATAAAAGTCAAATGAGATATAATTCTTAAATCCTAAAAAAACTTCCTGAATGTCTAAAACACCTTTTGAAAAGAGCAGTTAATGCTTAATTTTTTTTATTTATTTTCTTCTTAATTTCCTACAAATTTTTTGTTCTTGTTTTGTTTTGCTTTGCTTTGTTTTTGGTGCCTCAGGCTGCCTGAATGGCAGGTCTAGCTGGGGATTGAACCCAGTATCCTACTCCTGAATGCTTTTGCATGAGCAGGCCCTTAAACACCTGAGCTAAGGGAAGGCTCCCAAAAGTTCAAAAGGATTTTTTTTTGTGCCTGGCTTGAGATTTCTTTAGGGCAGGTCTAGACAGGCATGAGGATCTGGGGATCAAACAACAGTATCATGAGCCTGACTGCCTTGGCTTAAGTAGGTCCTTAAACAACTGAGCTCATTGTTCTTGTTTTGTTTAATTTGTTTTTTAACCAATCATGCATATTTATATCTGGCAATCTAAGCAACTAATTTGAAGATAACATCACGCAATACGGCAACCATTGTTGAATTCCTATTACTTTGTTTAGGGAAATTTTGTATCATTTCTAATGCTTTTTTATTATTCTATATTCTTCAAAAACATTAAAGGTTAAGAAAAAACAATACTAAAAAGTATAAATAAAAAATTGGAGGATAATTTGAAGCATGTGCATAAAAGGGAGAGAACTTATAATACTTGGAGCACATTTAAATTAAAAAATAAGCATTCATGAAAGGAAAAATACATGATAATTAATAATAATTTAAAAATGCTCAACTCACCAGAAATCAAATAATTATTAAACCATATTTTCAAACATTAAATTAGAAAAGATTAATTGTGTGTGTGTGCATGTGTGTGTGTGTGTGTGTGTGTGTGTGTGTGTGTGTGTAAAAGTTTGGGTCTAAACCTCCCTATAAGTTGCTGGTGAGGGTGTTGCTGCACATGCACTTGTGCTAGGACTCCTTTCTCCACAGCAAACTTTTCCCACAGGTACAATATGGGCCCACAAATAGTTTATTTATGTTCACTATGACTACCTCATCAGTGCATGTAAAGACTGTGTGTAGTTAGAAAATTCATGCCATTGAAGCTCTGTAAAATGCCCGCAACCTCATGCATTTTGTTGACATATCAAATCCCACCCACTAAAACTATTTTCTAACCCTTCTTTCAAACTAACTTTAGCTATACCTTAAATTGCTCCACCATTACTTAATTTCTCCAAATCGATAAAATGTTCTCTAAAGTCAGTGATGTTGAAGTTGTGTTTGCTTCTTTGTTTGTTTGCCTTTCTGAGGAAGGATTTCCCTGTACAATTCAGGCTGGCCTTGAGCTCACTTTGTAGCCCAGGCTGGTCTCAAACTCCCAAAGATCCTGCTGCCTCAACCTCCTGAGTGCTGGGATTATAGACATGTGCTACCATGCCCAGATTTTAATTTCAATAGTGTTTCTAATTATAATGTCATTAATAGAAGATAAGAGTGAGATTGATTAATTTATTGCAATGTCAAATGTGTACTGCTGTATTTGGCCAAACAATACCTGAATTCCTATCTTCACACTCTTTTTGTCCCATGATTATCAACCCCTAAATTCACTTTTTACATTCTGATTCAATTAGCATGATCCAATAGTCTCATCTTGCAACAAACAGACATACCCTTTGATCAGTTCTCACTAAGAAGGGTAAAAATTGGCACTACTATTCTAGGGGTCATTTTTAATACATAGCATAAGCTTCCAACATTATCTTCCAGTTTGACTCAGCAGTTTTACTTCTAGAAATTTATTCCCAAGGAAATAAGTACAGATACAAACAAAGAAAAACTATATCATTTTATTTATAAATATTAAAAACAACCTAAACAACCAACAGTGGACTGTTGTAGACAAACAACTTATTCTATTTATATTAGCAATAGAAAATGGATATTCTGTGCAATAGTATTCCACAATCAAAAGTATGGTTTAATAGATTATTTAATGGCATAGGGAAATAATCACAGCAGATTACTAAATGAAAAAATGGTTTTAAGGCAGCCTGCTAAGTATATTAAAATTCAAATTTTAATCAAATGATAGAAATATATTGGTAGGTATAATAAACATATATACTCAAAAATATATATTCTAAGCATACAGATACAGAGTATAAAAAATCTAGAAGGCTATATAATTAATGTCAATAGTATTAATTGCTATTAAAATTGTGAATCCTTTCTGAATTTTATGTACTTTGTACAATGGAATGACCACTGGTTTTAAGATGAAAAAGAAAAGAGAATACCTGGGTATTTTTCCAGAAGAACTGAAAACATCCTAGTAGAGTGATATATGCGCACCTATGTTTATAGCAGCATAATTAGTCACAGCAAAATCTTGGAAACAGCCTAAATGCCCATCACCTGAGGAACAGATAAAAAAGATGTGATATTTTTACACAATGGAGTATGATTCAGCTATAAAAAGGTGAACTTGAGTGAGGCTTTCATAGATAGATGAATACAACCAGAAACCATAATCTTTTTTTTTTCCAGTATCAGGGATTGAACTCAGGACCTTGCACTTGCTAGGCAAGCACTTATTCTACTGAGCTAACTCCCAGGCCCCAGAGACCATACTCAACTGAAATAAATCACACCCACATTTGTAAACATCCTATTGTCTCCCTAGTGCAAGAACCTAAAAGAGTAAATAAAATCTGAATGCTGCCGTAGATCCTGTGATAGGGAAAGTGTCTGTTGAGAGGGATGGAACAACTAGGATGAGGAAAAGGAGAAAAGAAAGAAAGAAGGAAAAAAGATATATTTATATAGGTTAGCTTGAATTATTGTACTGCTGATTTCTGTTGGTCAATTGAGATGAGCAGCTAATGCTTAATTTTTTTCTTCTCCTTTTTAATTTTTTATAACTTTGTTTACCAATTTGCATGTTAATGTCTGGTAATCTAAGCAACTAGTTTGAAGACATCATTGTGCAATATAACAGCCATTGTTGAATTCTTATTACTTTGTTCAGTGAAATTCTGTATCATTTCTAATGTTTTTACTGTTTTTCATTCTCTTTAAAAAGAAAACAACAAAAAATCCAGATAACAAAAAAATGAAGAAAAACAAAGACAATTATTTTTGTTAATAATACAGCACCACCTATGGTATACCGCTAAGTTATCTTAGAGAAGAGTTTGGTAGGATGCCCTGAAGGAGAGGCTCTGAACAGTTTAATGGGCGCAGTGTTTGGGGAAGTCCTGGTGGGCTAGGAGGAGGGAGTACTCTGTCTTAGTTACTCTTCTCTCATTGTTAGGACACATACCTAACACTCAAATTGAAGGAAGGAAAGGTTTATTTAGCTCACAGTTACTAGAGGTTTCAGTCCATATTCAGCTGGGTCCAAGAGAGAGCAGCAGAAAGCAACCTTTCATGGCGGCGGCAAAGAGCAAGAATGCAAGGGAAGAGTAGCAGCAGCTCAAGCAGCTAGTTTCTCTTCCCTCCTTACATTGAAATGCAAATTACCTGGTCCAGAGCAAGTGCAGCATCCACACCAACAATAATCAATCACAAACTCCAGAAACCGCCCCAAGACTGCATGAGGCTTTGGAGGGACAACTATACACAAACCATAACATACTCTAAGCAAGGCAGGAGGCCTGGAATATACTTCCAATGCTGAGGCAGGAAAATTAACACAGAAAAGGTGGAGAAGTAAAGCTGTGGAAAGAGCCCAGAAGCCAAAGATGTGGGAGCCTCCTAAGATGACAATTAAGAATTTGTAAATATTCATCACAAAAGCATTGACATTCAAGAAGGATGAGAGGGAGAGAGAAGATCTGTGTCAGACAATGTTCTTATCTAGTAGGCTTTAATTTTGTTTCTCTTCTTTCCAAAAGAAACCAAACTATTCTGGTCCAGCTTTGTCTTCTAGCCTACCCTGACATTTTAATTTTAATTATGTGTGTTCTATTTTTTTTTCTTTTTCCTGCCTTCTCTTTGAGTGGTTGATAAAGCCAAGATTGGCAGGAAGAAGAAGAAAAGAGTCTTCTGGGTCCCCTGCCCATCCCAGCCCCTGACCCCTCTAGCACTGTCTATCACTGGCTCTTCTGCCCATCTATCTGGTTCACCAGAGGCTGTGGCTAGAAGCAAACCAACAGCAACTTCAGGCTCCTCAGACAGGAAAGCAAAGCCAGGTTTGGGACAATCTGAGCAAACATTCTCAGAGCTCAGCCCCTGATGTGCCTCCGACAGAGGCCTCTGTTCCCATCCAGACCATATTGTACTGTCTGTGTTCCTCCCTAGTACATATGTGACTAACGTGATGCACCCCATGGCCCTCTCTTAGCTGCCATATCAATCGAATCTTGGAGTCTCCACGGGGAAATGCTCTGCTGGTTGGCGTGGGAGGCAGCGGCAAGCAGAGTCTGACCAGACTTGCGGCCTTCCTCAGCTCTATGGAGGTATTCCAGATCACGCTTCGCAAAGGCTACCAGATCTCAGACTTCAAGGTAAGATGGTTGCATACCTATGCAGAAGAAACTTAGCATGTCTCTAACCTCACACAGCCCCGTATAACCCTTCCTTTACCTCTCCAGTGGCCCTGGCTGGTTCCTCCCCTTAACTGTCCATCCGCTTTCTTCTTAGTTTTGGGACTGGTGATACAAGTGGCTCTTTTCTCATGAGACAGAGCCAGGGAGCAGTGCCCTTTCTGTAATCTATACCAAGTTCAGCACACACTTGATAGCTGCTTTCATAGACTTAATAAGAACTACAACAGTCTGCCTAGCTTTCATGAGAAAGTCATATTTTAAAAGACAGATTCAATAACCACTGCCCTCGGGACTTTTGATGACATTTTCTAATTTTAGACAGCAAACATATAGGAGCTGGGGTTCATGAAAAGTGAAGAAAGGCCTGGTTATGCAATTTTCAGAGGTCATTTGGTCTGGTCTTCATCCTTTTATCCATGGCCACAACAGAGTCCTAGGAGAAAGACCTGGGAGAATTTCTATCAGGCTGCTGCCCTCGCTGTTGCTGGGGCAACTGAGCCAAGCACTGAGCCAATTCTGCCCACAGACTCTTCCAGCCAGTGATGGGAGAGGGGTGTGCTTGCTTCTGCTCTGACAGCCCAGCTGAGCCTCCAGACACTGGTTGTACCCAAGGTCAGATATCGAGTTCACTTCAGCCTTTATTTAGTGCATACAGGGACAAGACGAGATAGTGTGATGGGAACTGTGCATTTACATAATGATATAAGACAGTGTTTCTACACTAAAACTGTGGCTCTCCCCTGGAATCTCAGGGGGTTTTCAAATAATGCTGATGCCTGCATCCTACTCCTAGTGTTCTGATTTAACCAGTGTAGGCATCAGCCTGGGTCTCAGGGTTTTTCAAAGCATCCCTCGGATGATTCTGAGAACTGAGAGACACTGCCTTAGATGATTCTGTAAAAGCATAAGGTAAGAATCACTGACCTAAAAGGAAGTATATGATCTTTAAGCGACAGTTTGGGCATTAAGGAAATCCTACCATAAAGAAGGAGGATATTAGGACATGAGCTCAGAGCAGAGCTGAGGAGAAAAGAGCAAGGTGAGGGACAGTGGCTGAGCTGCGTAAGCACAACACAACAAAGAAACTGGGCAGGATAGATCCAGGGCCTGACACCAGGACTAGTCAAAACCTTATACACCTCGTTTTGCATCTCTAGTTTTGAGTAGGTAGGATCTCTGCTGGTAATTGTGTGCATGTATGTGCAATCCCCAGTACTATATATGTTTTTCAACAAAAGTGTTTTGCTAGAGCTACTGACAGTTGTAAGAACACTAACATAAGACATAATCAGCCTGGGCATGTGGTTCCCAGTACAGGACTCTTATTGTCAAGAGCAAGAGCAAGAGCAGTCCCATGTCTTGGAAGCGGGTCATTCACTTGCATAATGACATAAGTAAAAAGGCCTGAAGTGAACCAGGATCACCTCTGCCTTGTGAAAGAAGCACCTCTTGGCACAAATAGAAGCTCCAGAAGCTAGTGCATGAACCACGATGAATTAAATGTCTTCTCTGTATGGTTTACTTGCCCACTTCCACTGGCACTGAGGTGTGGGAAGAAGGCATATTTTCCTAGCTGTCCAGGAAAGACAGAACTCCTGCGTATCTCCCATTGTTGCCTTTCTTTATTTACCATTAAAGCCAATAATATAGTTCCATATCTGAAGAGTGGGATGGGGACCTTTTTGGAGAATGCCCTCTTGATGTAGCTTTCTGATAGTGACTGTTCCTACAGGTAGACCTGGCCAGCCTGTGTCTGAAAGCTGGAGTCAAGAATCTCAGCACAGTGTTTCTCATGACAGACGCCCAGGTGGCTGATGAGAGATTCCTTGTGCTCATCAATGATCTCTTGGCATCTGGTAAGAGATTCTAAAAGAATCATAATCATTCAAAGATGGACAAGGAGTGCGAGGTCAGAAAAGCAGGAGCACAGAAATAAGGGAGAAAATGGACACAGCAAAGTTTCATTAGAGTCACTCCAAGAGTTAGTGCTGAGCCAGCTGGCCTGGTTCTTAGCTTTTATTCTCATTGCAAATAAGGTAATAATCTTGAAGCTCTCCTAGTGGAACAAGATATGAGTATGGGAAGAAGAGCAGATTAAAGGCCTGGGGATCTGCTGACATCTAAGGGAAGGTGTTTCCTCTCCACACCTATGACAGAGACTGCGGTACCTGCAAGACTTCACATAGCTTAGACACTGGCAGGAACACACACAGAAAAAGCAAAGCACATTCACAATAGGGCAAGATTGGGTTACAAATTTAATTAACCAAAGATTCAGAACTTTGAGCAGGCAGGAACAGATGTGGAATATTTCCCCCAAAGTTTTCCTCAGTCCTCAACAAAATTGACGGTGTTCTCTAGTATCCTGGGACACTACAAGACTTCATTGGAAAGCTCAGTTTCTGCTACTTTTTTGTCTGCTGAGTAGTTCAGGATTTATGCCAGTGATCACAAAAATATATGTTAAATATTACATTTATATATATATATATGTTTATATAAGACAATAGGTTGCATAATAAAATATAGTACATAATTTATATAATTGCAAAATATGTATTTATATAAATTAAAGAAAGATTATGCTTTCCTGCATCTTAAGCTAAATGAGACACCTGCAAAGCCACCTGTTCACCTGGGAATTGAAGAAGTATACAGATGTTCCTGAAAAAAATTATTGCCTCTTAATTCCCAACAATTCATAAGCTCATTTCTTCCCAACCCAACCACTAGATGTGTTGAGTATGATTTAGTTTATGAAGTCCAAGAAATATTATCACAGGTACATTCCTCTATCATCTCGCTCATGTCATAAGTCCTAAGCTATTTCAGGATAACTCCTCCCAGTCCCTAGGAACTTCACTGCTTCTGAATCATGTGTGTCCTATTTTGTGGCATTGCCTCCATGCCATTCTACTGTCACCCATGAGGAGCCACTGGCCCTTGACCCAGAGCATGCATTTAGAGGTTCTGTGAGGGTTTCTTTCTGAGGAGGGCCTATCGCAGGTTCTCTGCTGAGCTGGCTCCTGCCTTCACATTCATCCCATATTCACTCCTTTCCCAATCCCTCCTATTTAACTTAGCTCTGCATAAAAGAGTTTTCCTAGCAACTCTTATACCTTTTTTCCTGTAATACAACAAAGTTCCCCTTTCTAAACACTGTATTTAATATCTCATCACCCTACTATTTAACCTACAACATTGGCCCACCTTTCATTATTTTATTAAATGTGAAAGATCCAACTGGTCTCCCACCCTGAAGCTATCCTGAAGCCTCATTTCTAAAACAACCTGAGAGTCTGTGCTTCCAAAGATTTGCAGCTCTGGAGATGCCAGGCATGTTGCCAGCCTGGCTCTGTATTTCACTTGGCTCCAATCCAGCCAGGTCACCTTCTCCTAAAATAATGCTTGAGACACAGAAGTTGTTTTACGTTTGCCAACTGAAATTTTATTCCTCAATTAAGTATCTTTAATTTTTCATTTAGAAGACAACTTTCTTTCAAGCACGAGTGAATTTCTGAAGAGTTGCCCAGTGAAAACTTAATGCCACCAGACTGTTGCAAAGTCATACAGTTACAGGCTCACAGTTCTTTTTTAAAGCTTTTGTATTAAAAACAGCAAGATTTGCACACACATGTTAAGGTAAAAATACATTTAAGGTTAATTGTCCTCTGCTTTTTAATTTGTCCTCTTTAAAAAGGAGAAGTAGAGCCTCTATTCATTTTAATATTCCCTGTTGAGGCCAGGCATGGTGTGGCACATGCCTACAATCTCAACACTCAGGAGGCAGCAGGAGCGTTGCAAGTTCAAGACCATCCAGAGCTACATAGTGAGCTCAAGGCCAGGCTGGACTGCATAGTGAGACCTTATCTCAAAAATTTCCTGTTGAACACATAATGTCTGTGCATTCAAAGTAACTGAATGCCAGTCCAGCCAATGTTGAAAGGATTTTCAGAATCTATATACCCAATTCTTCAACTTGGTAAAATTATGCAATTACAGAGAGTAGCAAGCTACACCTCGAGGCGCTTCCCCACGACTCATCGCTCTGTAGTTATCTACAAGTCCTGTCACATTGACTATGAAAATAGTAAATAAATGTTTACTACAACTCTCCCCCAAAATCTCTTTCTCAGAGGACTAGTAATCTCATCACGTTGGCTAGCTGGTTTTCTCTGACATCTTTAGCTCCTTTTTTTACCTTTGCTATTGTGATACTTATGTCAAAATCAAACTGTGATGGTATTTGGATTCTCAGTCCCATTTCTGACACCCATCACAGCATTTCAGAACCCAGTAGCATGATAGTTGCATCTCAGAAGGGTCAGAGATTGACAGGAAGAAATCCTACATGCAAAGTGAAAAAAAAATTGCTTTCTTGAGTAATTGGCAAAAATACAGAATTGTGTTTAAAGCAGAGTGACTAACACTCAGGTCAGGAGCAGAGGAAACCCATTTGTAAGACACCCTGGACTGGCACAACCTTAAATGGGAATCATGCAGCCTCTGATGAAGCTGTGCATGAAATGTGGGCCTTGGCTGGACCTGAAAAATCTAATTCTTGTCATGATCTTAGTGACCTGTTTTAATACTTCCTGAAGAATGAACGCTTATCATCAATCTCAGGTGTTTTAGTAATTCTTATAAATGTTCACCTATCAGTCACTGATCCAAACTCAGGCAAGTCCCCATCATAACTTAGAAAGGAGAATTAATCCCTGGATTTCTAGAATATTCCGTACTTCCTGACTTCCATTTATTTCATTTCCTTTCTGCCAGCCAATTAGCACTGACCAGCTGAGAACACATAGTCGCTCAGATGGTGAGGTCTCCACCTCATCCAACTGTGAGATTTCATACTTCATTCTGCTTTGGGCTCTTACACTGGGATCTTCCTTTTTACTTTTGAAAAGGTTTAATTACTTCCTTCCAAAATTAACATTTCTTTTCCATGGATTAAACTAAATCTATTTATTTATTTGTCCTACAATCACTATTAAACTCCCACTCCCCAGTCACTAGGTAACTGTGCTCAGATGAGTAATAGTAGTCTCTGTGTGGTCTAGGGGAAAAGTTTATTGCCTGCCAGGCCCTATTTCTTCCCAAATCATATTCTTGTCCATCTCTGAACAGACTTTTCTTTTTCTATTTAGGCCAAATCTCCTCATGGAATATAGAAAACAAAAAGATCATTTCATCTTCCCACTTTTTAGGATGAGTCCTAACATTAATGATAGTGCTCTCTACATTTCACATGAGAATGTAGAACCGGGAAGTATTTGTTAGAGACTTGACAGTGAGTAGTTCTTCTCTTGTGAGCATCTATAACTGGATTTCTCAATGAGCCATACATGCTGTCATATAAACTGAATTTTGACCTAGTTTCCTTAAAAGGAATTTTAAAATACATATAAAGATTGGGACAAAAGAGCAGCCCTCAAACAGGATCTCTTGAACACACCCATGGACTCACTAAATCTGACCTCAGACATTAGAACCTTAAACTTTAATCCAATTAGCTGTCCAGCAACAAAAGCAAAATCTCAAACAGTTGGTGCACAGTCACTTGAATAATTAGTCTTTAGTTTTCTTCTGTGGTACCACAGAAGAAAAAAAAAGTTATCCCAGACTTTGCATCTCTGTAGATTCTTTTACATTGCCTACTGCTTCCTCGCCACCTATATCCAAAGGATAACAAATTCTGGCCAGCTTTTCTCCCTATTTCTGAATCCATTTGTTCTCTATCTTGACTATCCTGGATCTTGTTATTATTGGCTTTGACAAGTGCAGACACTTCTTAGCCCATCTCCTTACCTCCCAAGTAATCTCCTTGGCATTGTAGTTCAATTAGAGTCTGTGTACATTATAATTCCTTTGTAACTGCCTAAGAGATGCATGTTGCATAACCAAAAAAACCCACATTTTTATCTTCCCCTTTTTATCCTCACAAGCTTCAGGTCTGCCCCATGATTTAGCAATGTATTACTCCTGGAAGTTACACATCACGTCTTTTTCTGACATTACTAGTCATGATGTGTCTTTTGAACTTTATTTCTCTCTCTTTCCTGGTCTAAATTAACATCTAACAAATTAGAAGACTTATGTTAAATCTTGCCTCTCTAGTGAACCTTCACTGATCCAGCTGCCACTCCTAGGAATAGTAGCACCCATTGCCGAAGTACTTGATGGCTGCACATACCTCAACTGTATTGAAACAAGATTGCGCATTATGAAAGGCTGAGTCTTTTTATGTCATTGGTTAACTTTATGTTTTTAAAATAAAACGACAGAGGTACCCCTCAAAAAAGGAATGATTAAGTATCTGCCACCCACTTTATGAAGTAATATAAATCTGATAAAACTCTTAATACTGTAGAGACTGTAGGTTTTCTTTCTTATTTTCATCATGCATATTGTCAGATCTTAGTACATCTCTTGGCCCATAACTGGCACTTGGGAGGTATTCCTTGGAATAATGTGAGTGATAGCACGAGAGTGACGTTGCATCTCATGTAGTACACATTACTACAACACACTGTGATTTTAGAAGTCTTCCTAATAAAAGCAGAGATGCCACAATAGGCACCACATGCCCTTGTTTTTTCTCCCTTGAAATCAGGGAAATAGCTTTGAAAACTGTCAGGGTGGGAGTTGGGGTCACAGTTCATAAGCCAGTGTGAGACTAGGTCATGGAGACTGTCACCTTTGCCCTTGATCTCTTTATTAGAAGATCCAACTAACTGAAATATGTAAACTATCAGGTTTTCTCCTACAAAGCATTGTGGCCTCTGATAAACCTAACAGATGAATCTTAGCTGGCTTGCCAAGATTTGGGACATGTCAGTGGTGACATCAA